ATTTTAATTATGTGAGTGCATGTGTGGGTGTGTTGGTATGTGCAAGTGAGTGCAGGTGCCTTGAAGGCCAGAGGCTTCAGATCCCCTGGAGCTGGATGAAGTTACAGGTGGTTGTGAGCCCTACCAAGTGTGGAATCAAACTCCCAGTCCTCTATAAGAGTAGTATGTGTTCTTAACTGCTGAGCCTTCCCTCTAGCCTTCTCATACTTACTTTAATCTGGATAAATGGTTGTTGAGAAAAAGCTGTATCAATAACTTAAAAATGAAAGGCATACACCTTCAACTCAAATTGTATTCTTTATTAAAATTTTAGAGAGCTAAACACAGAGTATTAGAGTTTTTATGGAGAAAGGTGAAATAGCATATTACCAAATTGACTATCCTTAGATGAGAAAATCCATATAGGACTGGGGATATAGCTTAAATGGTATCCCACCTGTCTGTTTTATGAGAATCCCTGGCTGGGTTCAGTTACTAGCACCACCAGGCAGGACAGGTGGGAGTGGGGGTGGGGGGTGGGGTGGGGGAAAGAAGATGGGGATGGGGGATGATGATGATCATCCTTGCTCTTAAGCTGTAGCCATTATATCTCAAGTTACAGATAATTTTGGATCTTAGTCTAGTTTGATTTTAATGTATGTTGATTAACTGATGGACTAAATTGACTGGTTTAGTTTTTTTGGGGGGTGGTCTTTTTTTGAGCCAGGGTCTCCCTGTAGCCCCAGCTGACCTGGAAATTGCTATGTAGACCGGGCTGGCCTTGAACTCACAGAGATCTGCCTGTCTCTGCCTTCCAAGTACTGGGATTAAAGGCGTGCACCGCCATGCCTGGCTTTTGGATTAGTTTTAAAATTTTTATTTATTTAAAAATACTGAACTGTAGCCGGGCGTAGTGGTGTACACCTGTAGTGCACACCTGTAGTCCCAGCACTTGGGAGGCAGAGGCAGGCGGATCTCTGTGAGTTCAAGGCCAGTCTGGTCTACATAGTTCCAGGACAGCTGTGGCTACAGGGAGACCCTGCTTCACATAGACAAAAAAAAAACCAAAAAACTGAACTGTCATGAATTTGCGCTTCACGAATTTGTGTGTCATCCTTGCGCAGGGACCATGCTAATCTCTGTATCATTAGCACTGGTTTACTTTTTTTAAAAGACCTTGCTGGATGTGGTGGCACGGCTTTTACAGCACTCAGAAGACCTGAAGATCTCTGTGAGATCAAGGACAACTTGGGATGTAGCAAGTTCCAGGGCAGCTGGGGCTACATAGTGAGACCCTTTCTCAAAAAAAAAAAAAAGTTAGGGGCATGAGAGGTGGCCTAGGGGTTAAGAGCACTGGCTGCTCTTGCAGGGGACCTGGGTTCAGTTCCCAGTTCCCACATGGCACCTAACAAGCATCTGTAACTCCAGTTCCAGGGGATCAGACACCTTCTTCTGACCTCTATGAGACACCTTCTTCTGACCTCTGTGGGCATTGCACAACACTTGATGCACTTACATACATGTAAGCAACATACTCGTACACATAAAATTAAAAAAACAAACAAACCTTAAGTCTGAAAGTTCTAACTTTTCCTGTCTTTCATGTATATTTTCACATTTTCAATTAGATGCCAAGTGCACAAAGTTGAAATAAGGCAATTTGACTTTTCTCTTTGGGAGGGGTGGTAGATGGGGTCTCATGTAGCCTTGAACTTGCTATGTTTAAGGCTTAAGGGTGACCTTGAGCTTTTGATTCTCTACCTGTAGTGCTGGGGATTGCAGGCATGTGTCACCTTGCCTGATTTTTTTTTTTTTTTAATGTGGTTCTGGGGACTGAATCTGAGACTTTATGAATGCTAGGCAGACAGTCTACCAACTGAGCTGTATCTCCAGCCCCAATTTGAGTTTTCTGAACTTAACATTTTGTTTAAGCAAAAAGATAACTAGATAAACACACACACATACATATAAACACATACAAACACAAATATGTACACATAAATGTACAAAAATTTCCATCAGATCTTTTATTTCATAAATTACTATTAAATTTAAAAGGGTAGTAGTTCATTATTTTGATTCCCTCCCCTGTGGATTTTTGAGGCAGGATCTCATGTACGAGACACACACAAGGATGGCCTTGAACTGTACTGCTTTTGCCTTTTCTGGGATTATAGGTGTGCCACCACATCTGGCTAAGAGTGATTTTTAAAAATAAGTGTATGAGTATATTGCCTTACATATATGTAAGTGCACTCATGTGCATTGCCCACGGAGGTCAGAAGAGGATATGCAATTCCCTGGAACTGGAGTTACAGACAGCCATGATGTAGGTGCTGGGAATCAAATCGAGGTCCTACGCAAGAGCAGCCAGTGCTTTTAACCGCTGAGCCATCTCTCCAGCCTCCTAAGATAGTGATTTTTAAAGCATTGGATAAAAGATTTCTATCCCGGCGGTACATGTAATGATGTAAAAACTGAGATTTTTGTATTATAGAACATAATGTTTTAAATTCTGAGCCTTATGTATTTGTTATTGTGATAACTACTTTAGCGACTACTATTCACAAAGTACTTTGTGTACTTGCTCATGAAAATGGTGATGGTTTCTTTGTATGTGTGTGCATGCACAGCTGAATATGCACAGGGGATTGATACTAGGTGATTTGTAAGAAATGTACTTTATGAATAAGTAAATAGAAATTAGCTGGCATTGATTGTTTGGGTTATTTATCCTTCTAGATAGCTATAACTCAAACATTGTTTACTTCTGCTATGGTGTATAAATTTTTGTGATTTCTCTAAGCATTATCATTTTACAAAGTCACCTTGTTTTTTTTTTGAGACAGGGTCTTCTGTGGCCACAGCTGGCCTGGAACTTGCTATATAGACCAGACTGGCTTCAAACTCTACAGAGACCCTGGGTTTAATTCCTAGCACCAAAAAACAGACACCCATTGCTGTCATTTGAATTCCAGTATTCCAGAGGCCAAGACAGGAGAATGAGGAATGTAAGGTCAGCCTAGGATAGGAGTGAGAACCTGTCTTTAAAAAAAACCAAAACACAAAAACCACTCTAAATCAGAGGATATATATTTCTATCCATGAATATTAGGACTTTCGTGTTAGGAACTAGGTTTCCTACCCCCACCCGCCTTTTTTTTGAGTTGAGTTTTACTTTATAGCCCAGGCTTGTCTCAATTTAGGGTCAGCCTCAGCCTTCAGAGGACCTGGGTTCGATTCCCAGGACCCCATGGTGGCTAACAACCATTTTCCAGGGGATCTAGTGCCCTCTTCTAACCTCTATAGGCACTGTACAACATGGGTGCACTTATATACATGCAAGCAGTGCACTCATACACATAAAAATATAAAATATATAAAAATGATAAGATTAGGACAACTGGGTGTGGTGACCCATGCCTATAATCCCAGTATGTGGGAGGCAGACACAAGAGGATTCCTATAAGTTTGAAGCCAGCCTGGTCTTTGTTGTAAGTTCCAAGCCAGAAGACTCCGTCTCAAAAAAGAACCTAGAAAGTAAAAAAAAAAAAATGAATAGAATGGTTAGATATTACAGAATGAATGCCCTTGCAGTGACTGTAAGAAGTCTATAAGCAATGTCAGGAGAATTGGGACTATTTTGTTGATGACACAGTTGTTTCTTTTGAGACACAGTCTCAAGTATCCCAGGGTGACTTTGAATTCCCTTGAACTTTTTTTTTAAGATTTATGTTTTGATTTTGTGTGTGGGTGTGTGCATGTGAGTATAGGTGCATTGTGAGTATAGGTGCCAGTGAAGGCCACATGAGGATTTTGGATCCCTTGAGGCTGGAGTTAAAGATGGCTGTGAGCCATCCAATGTAACGTGCTGGGATCTGAATTTGGGTCTTCTGCAAAAGCAGTACATGCTCTTAACTGCCAAGCCATCTCTCTAACCCGAACTTTTGTTTTTCTTTAATATTTTATTTATTATTTTTATTTTATGTGTATGTGTGTATTGCCTGCATGTAGGTAAATGCACCCATTTTGTGCAATGCCTGCGGAGGACAGAAGAGGCCATTGGATCCCCTGGAATTGGAGTTACAGACAGTTGTTAGCTGCCATGTGGGTGCTGGGATTTGAACTCAGGTCTTCTGCAAGAACCTCCAGTGTTCTTAACTGCTGAGCCATCTCTCCAGCCCTCAACCTGAACTTTTTTTTGAGACAGGGTATCACTAGGTAGCCATGACTGGCCTTGACCTCACAGAGATTGGCCTACTTTTGACTCTCAACTGTTGGAAGTAAAGGCTTGTGATGCTACACTTAACCTGAACTTAAAAAAAAAAAAAAAAAATTTATTTTTGACAATTTCATATATGTATATAATGAATTTTTGTAATCACACACATACACACACACACAC